AGTACTTGAGTGGAGGCCCAATGTCCTTCTGCTACCTTAATAATAAACCTATAAATATAGGCTCATAGATCTATTTCCCCATCCTCAGGGGTCCCCGAGACCGGCGGACGGCCTCAGCACAGAGGACTGTGAGTGCACGTGGGGTGGGAGCCCCTGCCAGGATGGCTGTACCGAGGCAGGCACCTGGCAGGGAGGTGAAGCCAGGAGTCGTGCCTGGGGCTCGATGGGGTCCCCTGCGCAGCCACCCTGAGTGCCCGGTGTGGTGATGGTGCCCTGCACAACACATTTTGCTAATGACCTGTGGGTGTGAGCATGGTGCTGGCCCCACTGCAAGGGTCTGGGCTTGTCAGGGTTGACCAGCCCCTGGCACATCATCACGGGTCTGGTAGGCACAATTGTACAGCGATAATAAGTAAAGATTATAGTAAAGTTATAGAGAGCATGAGAGATAGAAGAGATTGAAATAATGGAGTCAGACACATTTCATGTAGCATGCAAACCTCAGCCTCACTTGGTGGTCCACGGGGAGAGAGGGAGAGAGATATTTATTGCTAACCAAGGTTTTTATATTCTCTGGGAACATGCAAGCCCCCTAATTACAGGTGAGGACATACATCACAGGGAAGGGTTGTGCTGTAGGTAATACAGTAATGGGAGGAGGGTGATCTAGGGGTATCCATGTAATAGGAAGGGGAGATCATGGGGGTACACATGTGACAAGATGGGCAGATCCCAGATTCAGGATGGCAGCCTAACTTTGGATGTCACTGAGCCCGTTTGACCTGTTCTCTGGCTCTCCATAGAAACCATTATCAGTAGGGTGTAAACCCACCTACAGGATCCAAACTGATGACTGCAAGCCTTCAGAGAGAAGTAGCTCATTGTCCTTAACAGCAGGGAGCGGGCACTACTTGTGGTGGGACCAGATGGTGGTCTGGCAGCTGACTGCCTTCAGGAAGGTAACTTGACAATCATTTACCATTAGCTGCAGTGTCCTAGATCTAACATATATTTGGGGGAGACTGGACTGGGGAGAAATCCTTCTGTTTCCCACATGGGCTCACCAACAGGCTGGCTCACTTGGGATGGACCGACAGACACGTGCCCTCACTCGGGGACCATCCAGACTGAGATAGTGTAGGAGGAGAGGTCCGGTGATCCTCTGCTAAAACCGGCCAGTGAGCGCAGTAGGCCTCGCCCAGTCTGGTCCCCAGCTGACAGTGAGCTGGCACAGGACTGGGTGTGTCTGCCCTGTGGGGCTCGGGGCCTGGGACAGCGGCAGCTAGACACCACCTGGACTGGGAGTTACCATGGTTTGCAACATACAGCCTCCCCGCAGAGGCTCCCCACCCCCTGAGGTGTCAAGGTCTGCTCAGCCCACCACCCGCCAGGCTCTGGACTCAGAGGGACTGGGGTGCCCTGCCTGGCGCTCGGTTGCATGGTCAGACCCCGCCTGCCGCTGCCTGCCTGGCTGTGTGAGAGTGCGGGTGGGGGGAATGTTTCTTGCCCCCCTGGGGCCCCTGGGAAAGCGGGGTGCTGATAATAAGCACTAGGAAGGAGCGCCAAGGAAGAAGCACTTTATAACCCTGCCCAGATGGCGGTGCAGCGGGTCTGTCCCAGCGCACCGAGGCCCTGTGAGGCGTGAGCGGCTGCCCCCTCATTCTAGGGACCCTAATTGAGGGGCTCCTGCTGGACTGTGTCTGCTTTAGAACTGCTGCCGGGGAAAGGGCAGACCAGGGCGGGGGCGGGGAGTGGCAGAACCCAAGACCGGCCTGGAGCCCTGGGACAGGACCCCAGAGGCAGCCGGGCTCCGGTGGGAACCTGGTCTCCGTGGGGGGCAGGGGAGCCCCTCCAGGCGGCATCTCACGTGGATGAGATGCTGTTTTCTCCACACTGGGCTTCTCTACGAGGGAAACATTCCGGCGCAGAGCCGGAATGCTGGCCTTTGTCCCACAAACAGCAGCAAATGAACAGGAGCAAGACGGTGATGTAGACCAGCCTCGTCCGAATGCCCCCTCCGCCCTTCAGCAGACAGACAGCTGGGGCCACCCTGCAACCCAGACACGTCCCTCAGTGTCCGCCGGTGACAGCACTGTCCCAGCCCTTCCAAACAGTGGGACAGGGCTGCGTCGCACGAGAGACGGCTGGGCAGTCAGACAGGCTGGGGCACCGGGGCCACGGCCCTCAGTCACCCTGAAGTCTGGCCCTGAACTCGCCCCGTGGCCCACGTGTTAGCCAAACACATAACACACATGGTCGGTAAGGGGAGCCGGAGCCCCGGTAGAGGCGTGTTGATGAGTTGGGCTTCTAGCCTTGAGATCAGCACTTCAAAACCACCAGCCACTCCGTGGGAGAAAGATGAGGCTTTTTTACAGGTAAACAATTAACCAACCCGGAAACCCACGGGGACCGTCCACCCTGTCCTGTAGGGCTGCTTTCAGAAGTGACCCCGTCGCAGAGAGTGTGGGTTCTTTACAGGGGAGCAGTAACACCTTAGCGCCCTCGGCCTTCCGAGAGTCCACAGGACAGTGATTCCCCGAGGACCCATGCCAGCCGGGCTGGGAGAGCAGGAATGCTGTGGGTGAGCGATGAGCTGCTCACAGCAGGGACAGTGGTTCAAGTCCAGCATCCGCTTCAAAGGAGAAGGCTGAGGCTGTCGGCTCCCGTCGAGATGCACTCGCCGGAGACCAGCGCAGGCTCCGTGGCCGTGGTTTTAACCCTTATGTGTCGCTTGCCTTTAGACGGTGTTCTCACGAGCAGAGGTTTCTCATTAAGGTCTGCTGTCCTTTTCCGTGGCTTGGGCCTTCAAACGCCCTGATGCAGCCTCTCGCGACAAGGTTGATTTGGGTGCTGATGATGCTGTTGTCTGACTTTAACTCAATTCCCACTCCCAGACACACCCACGTGATAGTGCAGGACTGCCCACAGGGTGCCCGGGTCCCCATCTGTCGGGGGCATCCCCCAGGGCTGCTTCCTCTGTGCTCTGGGTGGGCCGCCCTCCGGCTAGGCTCCTCGCTGGTGCCCTTTCTTCTGCTCACAAGCCTTTCCCGTTTCGCTCGGTGGTCGTATCTCACTGCACAGGGGAGGGTCTGACTGGATGCCCCCCACCCCACGCCTCTCCATGCGTCCTCCTCGCTCCCCCCCATAGCAGGAGTGCCCCGTGAAGCAGACGTTCACTGGCCCCTCTTGCTCTTCCCCCAACAGAAAGGAAGGAAGGAGGCGGCCCCGGGCACCTCCCCGCCGCCCCACGACACCCTGCTGCCCTGGCCCCCGCAGCGGCTGGGTGCCCTGCGCAGACAGAAGCGTGACTGGGTGATCCCGCCCATCAACGTGCCGGAGAACTCGCGCGGGCCCTTCCCCCAGCAGCTCGTGAGGGTGAGTGGAAGCCCTGTCCCCGGGGTGGGGGCCTGGGGGTGCAGGGCCTGGGCGGGGGGCTGCAGGAGCACCCTTGGTGTGGGACACCAGGGGCCTGTGGTCATAGGTGTGACCCCAAGTGGTGACCTCGCTCGGTGGCTTTGAAGTGGCACTCTGGGGAGCGGGGGTCGCGGTAGCCGTGGGTGGGGGCACCTGGTGGACTCTCTGGTTGCTCTTTCCTCGTCTGGGAAGGATGGCAGGGAGGGGGGGCGTGCCAGTGAACCAGAGGGCAGGCAGAAAGGGGGGCCTCCCCGAGGGGACGACCCGGCGGCTGTGGCGCTGGGCACAGACTGTGAGATAAGACGTAGTGGCCGTGTGGCTGGAGGCCTGTGACGTGGCAGGGGACACCGTCCCTGTGAGGACAAGCTCTCCCCCACCAGCCACCACAGACGGCTTGTCCCAAAGGGGGGGTTTGTGTGACAGACGGTGCTCAGCCCCCCAGGCCAGGCTAGCTGCAGCATGTCTTCTTCCTCATAAGGCAGCTGCCCCCTCCCCACCCCGTGCCCCTCCCCACCCCGTCCCCCTCCCCACCCCGTCCCCCGTCTGGGCCAGGATTCTAGGAGGAGATGGTGAGAGGCACTCAATAATCACCCCCGCCCCATGTGCGAAAGGCCAGGGTGCAGCCCGGGGTCTTCCTTTGCCCTGGCCGGCCTCGCCTTTGTCCTGCTCCTGTGGAGGACAGAGGGGTGGGGACTAGGGCCCAGGCGCCCTCCACAGCCCTGCGTCTCCGATACCCAGCACAAGACTTTGCACCTGGCAGGAGTCACGGGATCCAAGGGGAGACACTGGCCCTGTGCAGCCCCTCCAGCCCCTGCCCTGCTGCCCTGCCTCCTCGTGCCCAGTGTCAGCACTGCGTGGATGGGGCTCTTCTGAAACACACACACACACACACACACACACACACACACACACACACACGATGGCTCCACAGCCCCATGCCCAGGAGGGAGGCTCTACCCCACCCAGGACTGTCAGGTGGACCAGCAGTTAGAACACACAGTTCCAAACACATCAGAGCACCCCACCGTGCACCCAAAGGTGGGTATTTCAAATCCACTCAGTGGGGCCCGGCAATCTATTTCAGAGCCATCCGAGCCTTGACAGCCCTGCTCTGAGCCACCGGCCCACAGAGGTCGGAGCCACCCCCAGACGGTGGGCTGCATTTGTAAACAGCAGGGGAGGGGGGTGTAGTTTCTGGCTCCAGGGAGACCCCTGCTCTCAGTCAGGCAGGGACACTCACCCCCCTCTCCTCCCCCAAGACTCAGGGCTCAGCCCCTGCCGGGCAGTGGGGTCAACAGGAGCCTGGCCAGGGCGGAAGGGGCACCCACCCATTTCACCCACAGTGTGCTGCCCAGCAGGGGGGGAGTTGGCCTCAGCAGAAGCAGCCATGTGGCAGCTCCCACTACAGGTCGATTAGGGAGCCACCTGCCCTCTCGTCTTGCCCCAGCCGCTGCGTTTACACAGCTGAAAGTTCCTTAAATGAAAGTAAAATCAAACTGCTGCGAATGCTTGG